CTTTCCTTATCCTTCAAGACAGTATCCTCAGGTCTCGTCTTGCTGTGTAGCATATGTGCCATAGAATGAGAATTTAATTTTTTTAAAAAGGAGGGAAAGTGTAGGAGGCGGTGGGAGGAGACATGTTTTGCTTAAGTTTTAAGATAGGAGTACTAGTAATTTACTTTTCCCTTAAAAAATGGTGCTGATTCACTTTTGGTGACTAGTGAAGAGAAAGCAGATAGAAGTGTTTGGGAGGTGTTACAATTTCTTTCTAATGAACTAATGACTTGGGTGAAAAGTGGAACAAACAGTGTAGAAATTACGTGTGTTTTCATAAATGTCTCTTTGCTCCTGTGATGTGTCTCTTAGTTCCCTCTAGTGGTGTCAGAGAACCATTTTCTTACCTAAGTTAGGGCCCTCCAAAGGGGACCAGCATTTTTGAGCTGCAGCTTAATATACTTCCTAATCTATGGGGTAATCAGCTAAAGTTCCTCAAACATGCCTCGTGAATATAACTTCAACCGCACGGCTTCTATTCACAATACTATATTGGAAGAAAAGGATGGTATTCATATCATTTCCTAAGATTAAGGAGTTATAATTCTTAAGAATTTCTTATATCTTAGAGCTGACTTAAGAAGAAGCTTAGTATGTTGGCAAACTGGTATAGGAATGAATCTGGTGTGAATTAGCATACATATTTTTAAAGTCTTGTATTTACACAGGTAAACATTCCATTCCAATATGCTTGAAAGGTGGCAAATATTTGGTAATCAACAAATTAGTGTGTGTGTGTGTGTGTGATGGAAAGTGAGTACTGATTAAGCATTTCATGAAAATCTAGATATTTATAGTCTTTGTTTTGTTTTGAATTTTTGTCCCTTATTATTAACTTATCTTCAATTTTTTCTTTTTGCAAATGTGATAAATATGTATTTCTGTCTTAAGAAAATGGGAGCAAAGAGTATAAAGATCAGTAATAAAAAAGTATAAATAGAAATAATTTTCAAAGAAGGCATCTAACTTCAACATGGATTAGATGGTCAGAGGCATGCTTTTGATACTATTCTACTAAAGAATTCCTGTCAACAGAGAAAATAATTCTGAGGGTCTAGCAGTATAACCTGGAAAACACTACCTTTTACCTTCAGATTTTTATCACACATAGAAATGAACATAGAAATGATAACATTAATTGAAGACCTTTCTGAATATAAAATTATATAAGCTCATTGTAGAAATTTTGAAAAATATAAAGAAAAAAATCATCAATACCCATAATCCTGACACTGGATTTATTTCCTTAAAATCTTCTTTTCTGTGTCTTTTGTAATTTAGCTGATATCTATATTAAAATTTGCTCCCAACTATATTTTGCAACACCTAAACATTTTTCTATCATTTACTGACTGTATGTGTCTTAATTCGTTTTTTGGAATAATTGCCCATCACTTAAATTTAAGGAATCCATGTTAATCATCCATGTTTTTAGCCTTTCCAATTATTTTCTGTTTTATATAATTTTATATTATACTGAGTGTAAAAACTATTCTCCTGAAAGTGAGTTAGCAATAACCAGGCTCCCTGAAGATATCAGAATTTGTAAGTGTGTGTTGTCCCTTACCTCCAAGTGCTTTTGGGTAAAACACTGCAGCTCTGTATTCATATACTTTCTTTTGAAGTCTACCAATTTTTCAAGTGACTTGCGTCTGGTGTCTGAAAGTCACAGCACAGCGAATAGCACTTGATGAAATTGGAAGACGGTAGTGGGGTTTTGGAGAGCAACCTCCTCCTCATGTAGGTCATTTCTATGGTGAACCTTTGTTAACCAGTTAACTGCCACGGTATTTTGGATTTAATGAAAAGATGTCTGCTGCTTGCATCTATAGACTTACATAAACGCTTATGGCGTACCAGTGGTTAAGAGGCTGGTTTTCACATCCTTCTTCTGCAGAGTGCGTGGTGGGTTATTGGTGACAGAGCACATCTGTCACCTATTTTTCTTCTCCTTCTAATTATAGACCCTCTAACTGGGCTGGGCATTAGGCAGCCATGCTTGAGGCCCCCATCTTACTCTGGGCTCCTTGAGGCTCTTCCACAACAGCATGTGTTTAAGCATTGCTTCCTGTGTGATGACAGTGAACAAACAGCTGTTTTCACAGGAGCAAGAGTGATAATGGTGATAATCGCTATCTTTTGCTGATCTTATAAAATGCTCCAGGCATTGGTCTCCATGCATTATTGATGTTATCTCCTTGGAACCTGAGAGCCGGATGTTGGCGCTTCGATTATTCCCATGTTACACGTGTAGAAAAGTGAGGCATAGAATTTTTGAGTAGCTTACCCCCCTGTGACAGAGCTAAGAAAGGACAGCAAGATTTGTACTGAGAGTGTCTCTAAGACTGGACTTCTGACCACTGCCCCACTCTCACTGAACCATTCTTCCTCCTTACAAAGGTCATGGAAAGCAGACTATGTTAGGGAGGTAGATCATCTCAGAAGACCACCTTTGAGTCCTTAGGTCCTTTTGGTAATTAAGCTCCTTTTTCTGATCTTCCCCTACCATGGCCTACTATGACCCTGTCTATGAGTGGAGTGAGAGCTCAGGATTAACCTGCTCTGGCTTTAGAGAAGAAGCAGGTCTCAAGCCAGAATCAGTGGAAGAGTGAGGGAGGAATTTAGCAAAGAAGATTTGGAAGAAGATTCTACTTTATCTATTTAAATAAAATATGCTCATGTTGGAATTGACAAATTAAGAGTAAAGTTACACCCAGAAGTTTTGCTTTGATTAGAAGGGGTACATCTTCCTTGAGAATTCGTGAGAAATTTTGGAGGAGGCTGGACATAGTTGGAACTTGAATTTGGCCTCCTATCAAATGCAACGTTACCATATATTTCTTATCAGGACAGATCACATAATGATTCAGAAATGAATTTGGGTGGATGGAAATTCACTGATAGGCCATCTTAGAAGTTAGGAAGAATTCACAATTCCCAACATGGCTCTTTCTGAGTGTCCACGCACTCCGGTTCATCTAGAAATTGTTTCATTAGGAGTTATTGATGACCTTGGGTGGGCCTAATGGAACAATTAATAAAGTAGTCAAATGAATTTATACTTGATTTTAGAAGTGGTCACCTTTGGTCTTTTAAGCGCATACCTGGCCATGAGCTCATCAGGAAACACAAAGTGATGGTTTACCGATAGCAATGAAATCTTTATATCTGTTTCTCCTCCCAACATTTTACTTGTTTTTAAAGAAATCAACGAGTGTTCCGTGAACCCCGACATCTGTGGAGCGGGACACTGTATTAACCTGCCGGTGAGGTACACGTGCATCTGCTACGAAGGCTATAAGTTCAGCGAGCAGCAGAGGAAATGCCTTGGTAAGAGCCCCTTTCACAGGCGAAATTATTCAGCAAATATTGGCACAATAAGAGCATTTTTCCCCCTGCAATTATCAGAGGAAAATGTTACTGTGTTTAGTAGTATAAAGTTCTTATCCCTGAGCTAAGGATGCTCAAAAAGAGGTTTTCTTGGGGGAGCTGTTACCTCTTGGTTCAACTCTGCCTGCTTTGCCAAGTATAATACAATTACATAAAGGTGAAGTGATTTCTACAAGTTTTTCAGGTAAAATATGTAAAATAAGAGTTCTAGAAACAGAGAGCTACAAACATCTATTTAGCAAAATCAAATTAATATTTTATTTTATATTGCAATAAAGAATTATATTCTCCAATTGCATAAAATCTGGTTTCCAACAGGGATTTCTAAATTGAAAAATCAGCAAATGCTGACACAAAGTTATTGAGTATGCCTCTCTGGAAAAAATGTGTCTCAGAAAGAGCTGGGATGGTGGTGGGTTGTTAACACTATCATTCGTTTTTTAGAAACGAAGGGCTATAACGTGAATAAAGGCAAGAGAGGCATAAAGCTTATGAATACTGCTTTAATATGCTAAGTGATGTTTTGTGTAAGTATGAGGGGGTTAAGGGGACACCCACCTGTTCACACTATGGTTATTTCCCTCTCCCCTGCATACACTGTGTGAGTGACTAGAGCCATAAAGTATGAGGTTGAAAGGGCCATCATGCTCCACCTGTGTGTAGAGTGGGAGAGTCGCTTTCACGCCACTGGGCCTGTCCCTGCCGCCCCGCCTGGAAGTAGCTCAGCGAATTGCAGAGCTTAGACGAGTCCAGGTATCCGGCAGGTCCTTCTATGTTGACCTGAAACCTGTCTCTTTGAAACACCAGTGTCCCGATGGTAGTGTTAGCTTTTGAAGCGATGTGCGCAGTGCGTATTCCCTCTTCCCAGGAGAACAGTCATGCCTCCTTGTCCTCAGCGATGAAGGCTTGTGAGACACGGAGTCGGCTGGCATTTCACAAACAAGGAGACGGAGAATGCCACGCTCCAGCTGACTAATCCTCTGATCGTCATTCTCTTCACAGATGTTGACGAGTGCACGCAGTCCCGACACCTCTGCTCGCAGGGACGCTGTGAGAACACGGAGGGAAGTTTCCTGTGTATTTGCCCGGCAGGATTCATGGCCAGCGAGGAGGGGACCAGCTGCACAGGTAATGGCAGTGCTTCCTGTGCCTCACTTCCCAGGTCTGCCGTGGCGCCTCCCCTGAGATCCCACCCATTCACTGCTTAGTCCGACAACACCTGCTCTGCCATAGCAATCTGCTAGATACGGAAAGATATTAAAATTAAATTCTTTCCCCCCAATACTTTTTTTTGCATTAAAATTTTTTTGTTTTTTTGTTAAATGACAGTTGACATTCGTTGTTAGTTAGTTCTAGGGGTATAGCCTAGGCATTACGAGACATTTATGTAACTTTCGGAATGATTTCCCCTGTACCTAGCCAGGACCATACATAGTTACTAGAACGGTAGAGGCCTGGTGCATGGATTCTTGCACCAGTGGGGTCCCTCGGCCTGGCCTCTGGGGATTGGGCTGAAACTGGCTCTCTGACAATCCCCTGAGAGGGTCCTGGATTGCGAAAGGGTGTAGGCCAGGCCAAGGGACCCCACCGGTGCACAATCGGGACCACAGGAGGGCTCCTGGACGTGTCTGGTCCTGTCTCGCCTAGACCTAATCAGGGTTGATGATTGGGGCTGGCTAGCTGGAGAGGGACCACAGGAGGTTGGCTGGCTGGGGAGAGATGGTGGGAGGGCTCCAGGGCATGTCTGGCGCATCTCCTGGAACCAATCTGCTGGACCCCAGCAGCAAGCTGACCTACTGGTCTGAGCATCTGCTCCCTGGAGGTCAGGACACATCATAGTGACTGCTCGAATGAATGGTTGGACCCTTAACATATTAGGCTTTTACTATATAGGATTATTCTCTGACCCCTTTCAACTAAGAGTGTCAAGTGTGTACAAAGACCAGAGGGGCAAAAGTTTTTATAGCATGGTCAAAATGATGAACATTTTCACATTCTCACACAAATCAAAACCACTCAGGTGACAGCAGGACTCAGTTATTTCATTCTTAAACTAACCAGGGAGAGGTTTGACATTTTATTTTGGGAAGTAAACCCCACCCTGTTTTCTGCTTTCCATAGACGTTGATGAGTGCCTGCGGCCGGATGTGTGTGGGGAAGGCCACTGCATCAATACCGTGGGCGCCTTCCGGTGCAAGTACTGTGACAGCGGGTACCGCATGACCCCCGGAGGCCACTGCGAGGGTGAGTGAGTGTCTGCGAGGCGGGACGGCCGCACCACCGCTGAGTGCTGGTCAGCCTGACTGTGCACGCAGGGCTGGGCGGAGGCCAGGGGCTGACAGCCCCCCCCCCTCCTCCGGTATTTCCCTCTGCCAGTCTGTGCACGCCACCAGCTCGTCTCAGCGCCTCCCGCCTTCTGGGTTCACAGCCTCTTTGCCTCACTTCCGTGGCTCTGCCTGGACTATTTTCTATCTTTATGCTCTTTCTTAACCCACTTCAGTATCTTCCTTCGCTGGTATTTCAAGTGAGATCACGTTAGCACAATGATTGCAGAGTTAGTGCAAACCCAGACTTAATTACAGTGTCTGGGTCCTTCGTGTGAGGACACGGTGCGGGGAACCACCTTTGATTTTTCTTTTTGTTCTCGACCTTTTCACCTGGATACGTTCCTTTGTCTCGACTTGTTTCTTTCACATGGGTTTTGGGACTCACTTTCATACTCCCCACAGCAGCTTTGTCTGACCCACTGCAGGTCAAATTCCAGCAGCACCACATAAAAATGCCTTTATGAAGGACTGCAGCCAGAAACTGGCTCTCCTTACGAAAATGTTTTGAAAAGTTTTTTTTTTTTTAAAGAGGGACATGATTTACTTTAATATTTTTATTGATTTCAGATAGGAAGAGAATGGGAGAAAGATAGAAACATCAATGATAAGAGAGAATCATTGATCGGCTGCCTCCTGCACGCCCCCCCATTGGAGACTGAGCCCGCAACCCAGGCATGTGCCCTTGACTGGAATCAAACCTGGGACCCTTCAATCTACAGGCAATGCTCTATCCATTGAGCCAAATCAGATGGGGCTGAAAAGTTTTGTGTTTTTTAAAACTATGTTTTGTGTTTTTATTTTTACAGAAAAGAAGGGAGATGGATAGAGAGTTAGAAACATCAGTGAGAGAGAAACATTGATCTGCTGCCTCCTGCACACTTTCTAATAAGTATGTGCCCACAACCAAGATACATGCCCTTGATCAGAATCAAACCTGGGGCCCTTGAGTCCGTAGGCCGATGCTCTATCCATTGAGCCAAACCGATTAAGGCTGAGAAATTTTTATAGCATGGTCAAAATGATGAACAGTTTCACATTCTCATGTTTGGCTCTTTTTGAAACCATGATGCCACTTTTCCCTTTAATTATTTTCATGAAGAAAACAGCATTACCCTGATCCCCAAACCAACAAAGGCAATAAAAAAAAGAAGAAGAAAATTGCATTGAACTTCAGCCTAGATCCTGCCATGGGAACATAAGGTGAAGGTGCAGGGGCCTCTGAGATAGTGTTTTGAGGAGCCCAGCTGTGGGGGTGCTGCTGAGGCCCGGGAGTTCCCTGCCTGGCTGCCTGAGGTTCAGCCTCCTTTCTAATATGGCTGGGCGTCCAGAGGGAGGGGAGGAGGTAGACTGGTTGGGGTGAGCTGCTCTCAGCTGTCCCTTGGCGTCTGCAGGTTGGTTTCCTTCAGTTCCAATGGCCCAGGCCTGGAGGGAGAGCTAATTAGACAGTTCTTGGCAACCTGTGCCTGCCTCCTGCTGGCCTCTTCCCTTGGCCCCTTTGGTTCTAATCAAGAGACAAGTGGGAACAGTGTACGTTACCGGATCTCTGGTCAGCTTGAATGAGAACAGAGCTGTGAACTGTCCCCGAGGACCGAGGGATATGGTGGAGTGCAGGTGTGATGTGTCCCCACTCCCCTCTTCCCGGAACTCTCTCTCTCTGCTCGGAGAGACAGGGTGGACACCAGAGAGAGAGGAGCCGTGGCATCAGTTCATGATCCCTGCAGGTCATGACTGTCTGCTTGGGAGCCAGTAACTTGGCCCCTTTGAAAGTTCCTTCTTCATCTGTAGCATGGCAGCTGAGAAGCTGGCTTTCTTCAGGGTTGCTGGGCATAGAACTGGTGTTGCGGTAGCTTCTATGGTGCTGGTCACCTTATTAGTTCTGAGGAAGCATTTGTTCTTAATCTTTGCCCTTCCCTGATACCCTAACCCTAACCCTAACCTTTTTGTGTATATCTTCTTAGTATATATCTAGTTGTGGGAGTACTTATAAAAAGTGTGTGTGTGTGTGTGTGTGTGTGTGTAGGTATTTGATAAGCACTTATGTGCAAAGCAGCACTCCCCAAGGAGGTTCAATATGGATCGTTATGTTCTACGTACAGTCTCAGAATGAGAAGAATAGACATTGAAATGATAACTAGCATCAAGATGGAAAGTGGAAAGGAGTAGAAAGAAATGTTTCAAGTCCACAGGAGACTTTTCGGTAATAGTTAATGTATGCAGATTATTTAACAGAAATATTACCAGAGTTCCCCATGTTAAAAAAACAACAACAACAAAAAACCATATAATTCTTTCCCCATGAAAAGGCTCGAGAAGAAGAAGGAGCCAATGGCTGTTTTCTAATTTTGTCATGGACCCGAACCAAAGGTCCCCGGGCTCCTGGCTCACGGAAGGTTTTCTCAGCTGTTCCTGACAAGGCTGCTTTCAAACAGGGCCCGTCTCCAAGGAGCCCATTGTAGTTTACAGACATTATCTCATGCATCCTTACTTTGTTCCGCTAAGATAGTCCCCGTCAGGTGGTCCCTCATTCGTAGATGAGGGGACCAGAGAGCAGGTGAGGGCAGCAGGAAACTCAGGGATGTGATCTGGTGTTGCTCAGCACGGCACCTTATTTATCGGACCAGCCTACCTCAGTGACCTTCTCTGACTTAGCATTTGTAGTTCGGTTTAAAAAAACATCCCATCCAGAGGATAATGTCATGCTGTTTGGAAAGTGAAACTGGCAAGCATCATCTTTTTGTAGTCCCAGAACATCTGACCTAACAAGAAGTCCCAGAACATCTGACCTAAAAAAAAAACACCCACAAAAAAACAAAAAAACCACACACACACACACACACACACACACACACACACCCACCCATAAAACCACTGTGTGTCATTGTCTATTGGCAAGAATTTTTCACTGATAGGAAAAATAATTACAGTGCTGGCCTGGTGTTGATTCTGTTACTATTGTCTTTAACTCTTTTACTTGAAGCATTTTTTTTTTTTTTTTTTTTTTACTCATAACCAGGATTATGCAATGGGAGGTCATTTGAAAGAATTTACCAGAAGACGTCAAATACCCGTGCCTGTTCTGTGTAACCATCACATATTTTTTTTTTATTTTTCAGTCGTGAGATATGTCTATAGTTCAAGTATGATTAGAGGTCTTATATACATTTTATATTGAGACACTTAGACATTAAATCCACTCACAGAGATTCAGAAAATCCAACTCCAGGAAAACAATTACTTTAATTATTTCCTACTTTCTTCCCCCATTTTGTTTAACTATTCTTAGAAATGCCCCAAGCTATTGGAGTTGATATCTCTGTCACAATCCCAACCATATTTTAGGTGTTTGTCCCCGTCACATGGAAGAGAACAATGATCAGTAACTTCAGTTAGCCGTGAATGTGAAAAAAAAAAAAAAAAGGTGTATTTTTACCAGAAAATACTACCATATGATCTTATCACCATGTTTGATGGGAAATCTTGAAAGTATGTGATGAGTTCCTTCTCTTCTAGTGTTCCCCCCCCCCCCCCCCGTACTTCCAGGTAATTCCTAGCATATGAAAGGTTTTAAATTATCCAACCTGGAATGTTTTTGGGCCATGAGGCCAAAGTGAGAATTTCCCTAGAGCGTCAAGTGTCTGTAGAGCTGACTTGTAGGTGGGTGGGACAAAGGTAGGTGTACGGTTGGTAGTATTTGAAATACAGAGTTTATTCTTGTGTGCATTATGGTCTCATTTTCCACATGGAAAACTGTAAGCCTGCTTTTGCCCCACCCTGTATGGCTTCCTCCTGCTCATCCCTATTCTCTGTCTTTTTTTTTTCTGGCAAACAGCACACTTAAAAGGTTTGGTGTCCAGAAAGTTGCCTGGGAGAAGTTGCGAGCTTCTCTCCTACACTAGGGAGCTCGGGCCCTGCCAGTTGGAGAAATGGGTCCAACGACTTCCTGGGAATGTGTGTAAATATTTCGGTCAAAGTGTACTTGGCCATGCATTAGCGCTGTGAGTTTATAGACCTTGTGTCACTTGTTTTCCCTATCAAATAGGAAATGCATTTCCCCCCTTTGTCACAAAAGTGTTTGCTGAAGTATCCTGATAAAATGTCTGTGACCTACCTTTTTAACTTTTCAGATATTGATGAGTGTTTGAGTCCAAGTACTTGTCCAGATGAGCAGTGCGTGAACTCTCCTGGATCTTACCAGTGTGTTCCCTGCACGGAAGGGTTCCGCGGCTGGAATGGGCAATGTATCGGTAGGTACCACAGAGTTCTTAGCATATAGTTTTACTAGAAGGCCAGTGCATGAAGATTCATGCAAGAATGGGCCTTTTTTTCCCTGGCTGCTGGCACTGCCTTTCTGCTGTAGCCCTGGAGCCACTGCTTTCTACTCCAGCCCGGCTCTTGTCCCATCTTGCCATGCTACCCAGAGGCCCCGAGTGGCTGGGGCAGTGCAGAACACCTACATTATCACCATGGCAATGATATAAGCATTCCCCCTGCCACCCCTCTGCCGGACTCCTGTGTATGCAAATTAACCCATCATCTTTGTTGGGTTAATTTGCATACTCACTTCTGATTGGCTGGTGGGTATCATGAAGGTACGGTCAATTTGCATCTTTCTCTTTTATTAGTGTAGATTTTATCTGTCTGGCCTGTTTCCCGACAGAGTAGTGTAATGCCAAATGAGCCCTGTTTCAAAATAAAATATAAATAACTACACACACACATACACATATGGAATGTAACAAAATATTATTCTAAGGCAACTTGAAAGAAAAGTTCTAAGTAAGTTTTAACCATGGAGAAAATAAGGAAGTGAGTTGGCATGAGAAATGTGGGATTTTTGCATGCAACAAATAATTCTGGTAGAAACACATTGTTACCTGATGTGTTAAATAACCAAAACTAAATAAAATAACCACCATAGGAAGAACGGTAGAAAGCAAAATACTTAAAAAGTGAGAAAAGGCATATGAAGAAGCTGTCAGAGACCACAAAGAATTAGGAAACGTACAAACACAAACTTGCAGCAGAAATAGCAGACGCAGAAAGGGAAATCTTGATTGATTTCTCAATGTCCCTTTTATAATACATTTATTCATTTAAGTATTTAATAAATTGTGCCTGCATCAGGCACCAAGGGAGATCTGATACACTTGCTTCGGTTCTAATTACACATGTTCTCCCTAACTGTCTCCTTTCATGGCTTTTCTTGGTGTTTCTGTCTACCATATGGTCTTTTCTTAAAAAATTGAACTCTTTTGCACTCCATGCCAAACCCTGGACTTTTCTTTCATTCATTCCTTCTATCCTCTCTTTCACAAATGCTGGCCAACTTACTCTATATGCTCAGAGTTGTACTGAGTGCCAGGGTACATCAAGGGTCCAAAAAGAAAGGTGCTTTTTTCACGGAACTTCCTATCCAGTGGGGGAGATGGGTACCCACCCAGATATCTCATAAATCAGTGCCAATGCACAGCTGATACAAGTGCTAGAAAGAGATGGTTCTGTGATGCTCTAAGAGCCTGTGCTACAATGAGTTGCCTCTAGGAAAATCCTTGAGTTAATCTTTAATTGGGGAAGGTGATGGGAGGGAGAAGATTTTGGACAAAGGAAGCAGCATATGCCTGGGGCTTGTAGAACGAGGCGGTCATGTTCCAGCAGCTGAGTGGACAGTGTGGCTGAAGGACAGGAATCAAGGAAAGATTTGCTGCAAGTTGAGGAGTAGAACAAGCCAGACCTTCTGGGTCTGTTAAAAATGTTGGCCTACTCCTGCAATTCTGGGAAGACACTTAGGTACTTTGGAAAGTGTGGTGTAGGTAGGCCTGGCAAAAACACTCTCCATTTCAAAGCTTTGGACTCAGCACCAGGCAGCATGAGCTGCGCCTGGTGCAGGTGGCCCCAAACCCTAAGCCTCATGCCCATCCCAAGAGTGTCTGTCATTGGAACTGTGAGGTGTTGATCTTTGGGGAGAAGAAAAGATTTTTTCATTAATTGCTTATTTGATAATATTTTGTAGTCTGTGTTGGTCAGAAAGTGCATTTGGTTTTAATTTTTCCATCTGGCATACATTTTATAGTTGTCTATGAAGGTTCCATTCATGCTCTCATTTCCACATCCGGATGGATATTATAACCCGAGAGCAGATCCTGAACTTTACCTTACATAGCTAAGTGGTGATATAAACACAGCCCTGATTCATGAATTTGCTAATGGAATGCAACTTACCAAATTGGCAAGTGATTGCTCTTCAATATAAATGCATTTATCTACGTTGGGTAGTAATAATAATAAATGACTTCTCATACCTAGATGTATACAATCAATCTAATTGTGACCACTTTGCTCGAGTGGTAGTGACAGAAACACTGCACCTCATTTAAAAGTAATTTCACTTTGCCAGCCAGGTTAGTAGAATCATACGCAGACACGGTAAGTCACTGTGCTACTCAACCAAAGTCACACACTTGGTTCTAAGGAATAGCTTTCATTTTTGCATTCTGGAGGTCATGCATCTCCTATTAAAAGTAGGCAGCATATTTTTCCTTCTGTTCTGGGTCAAATGTTGGGCTCTTTGTCATCTATAGATTAAGCTTCTCTGTGGTATAATTGCAGTTCCATCCATTGCTCAGCTGGACTTGTGCTCATTCTAAAGTCCTCATGAGGGCTTTTGCAGATGATATCAAAATGGATTTTCCATCATGACTTTTTTTTATGGCAGTAGAACTTTCAAATGTTGAAAAGATGAGTGTGACAGAAAGCAGAAAGATATTGCAATAAACATTTCTGTTCATGTTGAGCCAATGAATGGATTGGATTTTTCTGCTAAACTCTGACAGTGCTCAGGAATACCCAGCCACTCCTCTTTGTCTCTGTTCCTTCATGGAGTTTAGTTCTCACCTTTGTACTTGTGAGACTCCAAAATACTTTCCAGAAGGTGTAGTCCTTACTTAATCTTACCTTTGCGTTGAGCTCATGGGTAACACAACTTGACCTATATGTATTCGTTCATTTAACAATTGAGTGCCTGCTATGAGCCAGGTATTTCTGTAGACGTTGGGGATGGAGAGTGAACAACATAAATTCCCTCCTCGCATTTCACTTCTGCTCTAGAGCCACTGTGCTTACAGATAAGTGAGCCAGCAATGAGAAGTAGATGGTGTGTCAGAGATGATGAGTGCCATGAAGGGAAGGAAAGCAGCATAAGAGAAGAGCGAGAGTTACAGTTTCTGGGGTGGTCAGAGATCAGTCATTTACAAGGTGTTCTTCATTAGCCATTTGCTTTTGTTTCTAACAGTTATTTGTGAGTAGTGGCATTTTATATCCTGCTAGTTCAGATAATTTGGGATACATTGATGAAACTTTTATTGTCCAAATCTTAATGTATGAAAACAGTAAAAAGTTACCAGATCCTGCTGTTTGAAGAAAAGCTCTACACTTGGTATTTGCGGGTGATCACCTGTAGAAATAATTACTACCTCACAGGACTGTTCTGTGCCATATGTCTTGTAGCCTCCTTCTTCTACTATCCTCCATTCACTCACTCACTCACTCACATTTTAAAATTGTGTGATTACACTTGTGCAGTTTTGTACAGAATAATACCTTTATTTGACATTATGCTTGGTGTTAGCTTTTTTTTTTTTTTTTTTTTTTTTTTTGGTACTCTGTCCATCTTTATTATGATGTGGCTCATTTTTATTTGAAATAGTTTAATTGGGAATTAAGAATTGCTTTTTTGACCCTTGTAGTCTACAGGGATTTGATGCCAGTTACACTTTCTGATTCTTTCACTAGCTGAACAGTAGACCTGCAGAAACCATTGGTGGACTGTTTGTCTTCAGGCCATGTACACTGGGTCTTACTGATTGATGCTTCTCCTTGATTGATGAATTAGGACAGAAATTGTTTGGGGGCAGAAACAGGTAAAACGTCAGCAGGTATTGTCTCAGGGAACACACTTTTTCCTAGTGCCCAGGGCATGTAGTCCTTCATTCTCAAGTTTATTGTCTACTCTCAAAATGTCTGCCCCTCAATATTTTCTGGCAACTCTTGTTGGCACCTCTGTTAATGTAGCATCTTCTTTCAAGCTATGGATTTTGGTCCTCTCTTGAGAGCCACTTTTCTCATTCAACACTGTATTCCTTGGATCTCACATTCAGCCTGGAGTTGTTGCCCATTTGATCCCACCTCTAATGACTATTTCAACACCTTGAGTTCTGTCTACTTCCAACTGGCTGCTCCAACCAGGACTTTTCTTGAGGAGAGCCAGCCTGACAGGTACTCAATGTATAGGTTTCTCTTGACTCCTGGAGAACTAGCCTGATTCCGACCCAACTAGATTATTTCCCAAAGGAAATTCTCTAATATTTCATTGTTGAAAGGTACTTGCCAGTAACTCTGACATAACGATCACATTTCCGTGAATTTAGGCAGATTTGGGACCATGTGACCACTCTGAAGCTTAGTTTTAATATCTGTAAAACAGGAATTGAAATACTTTCTTCATAGGGTTTATTGTCAGAATTAAGTGAGCCATATAAAGAGCTTAGTAAGGTGTTTGACATAAAGAAAGACTCAGTCAGTGTTAGAATTCTTTCCCCAACCCCAGTGCCTTCCCTTTTTTCTTCCTTGTCCTGAAATACATACAAGATGGCAGCTGAGTTCACCATCTACCTGTTGTGGACATTATAAAATGTCAACATCCGACTTATTCCTAAATCATTGTATGCTAAAGGAATCTCTAATCAGTCAGCAAGTTGTTATTGAGCACCTATTTGTCTGCCAGGTGCCAGAGAAGATTTGAAATTGTAAAAAAGCAAAATAAAACAATGTGGTTACCTGGGGCTGGAGGGGAGGGATTTTCAAACTTGAAACTCTTTGTAAGTACTTTCTGGAGACCTAATGCACAGCATGGTGATTGGAGACAGCAGCACTGCATTATAAAATTCAGAGAGACTAGATCTTAATTGTTATAGAGGTGTTAGCTAATGCTATTATTTCACAACATGTAAGGTATCAACACATCACTTAAACTTATACAATGTCATATGTTAATTACAACTCAATAAAAAAACACACAAAAATACTTTTATGAAGGAAACATGCCTGCGTGAGAATAACAACAAAAACACCTCACTTTATGTCGTTCACAAAGGGCTTTGACTTTGTGGTTTCATTAGTTTCTCCTGGCAATCACCCCTGTAGTAGAGATAGAGAAACTGACTCCCAAATGGGTTAATAGGCCTGCTCA